ACGAGAAGATGTAATCCATGAATTCCAGTGATTTGCAGTGGAATTAATTAATACTTGGAGAACGACTGTGACAGACGTGAGACGATGTTATTTGGAACCTTGGAAGCTATTGGAAGCGATTTGGAAACATGGAATTCTGATGAAGAGCGATAGATATATCGATCTTTGAGTGATAGATATAGACTAGAAGATGTAGTCTGTAAATTTCCTGATTTGCAGTGGTATTAATTAATACTTTAAGGACAACTATGACAAACGTGAGACGAGGTTATTTAGAACCTTGGAAGCTATTGGCAACTATTTGGAGACATGGGGATTTAGATAAAGAGATGTTTGGGTGATAGATGTAAGCTAGAAGATGCAGTCCATGAGTTTCCATGATTTTCAGAAGAATTAATTTACACTTTGATGATAAATATAACAGACGTACTACGATGTGGTTATTTGGGACCTTGATAGCTATTGAAAGTGATTTGAAATCATGGGGATTTGGATGAAGTGACGTTTGGGTAATAGATAATCGTACCTCCTTCCATTCTTCGTGGTAATTCTTGTATCTGTGATTATGAAAATTTGTAACTGTGAGGTCGCATATTTGACCTTGAGTGATTTGCAGAGATATTAATTAACTTTTTGCGAATAAATACGATAAAAATGATACAATATTTGCAATCCTTAAATATATTTTAAGTAATTTGGGAATATGAGTGTTTGGTAAAGTATGTTTCTATCTTTGGGTGTTTTCTTGTTGCTGATTTTTATATTTATGTTTTTAACAACGTCACGTGTTGCGAATTTCCATTTTTGACATACTGTCTTTTAAAATTCTGGACATCTTCTAATATTCCTTTATTAATAATTTATTAATAATAATTCCTTTTATTAATATTGCATAATGTTGAATAATTTTCCTGTTTGTAATCTTTTTTTTCTATTATTAGATATACAAATTGTATCTTCTGCTACCTAATTAGCGAATAAATTGGAATTTTTTAAAATTTCGACGAAAAGTAATTTCCCTGAATTTTTTCTTTCATGACTCGTCAAATAAAAAGTATCAGTTCCACAAACTTCTTCGTCACGTTGCTTTGTAATCTCGGCCATTTTTACCGTTTTAAAAGAATGTTGGTATTTTGTTTGTGCTTTTTTTTCCTCATAAGACGAGTTTCTTTGCAGGAAAAACGTAAACTATGTGTCGCATTCTTTACGGATTAAAATGTGTTGCTCGGGGTAATTGCAGAATCGCCTACTCGAATGAGCTAATCGATATCTTCGCAATTTCCTACGTTCTACGTCTAGCTAAATGAGAGGTGTACTGGATATACTGGTCGAGCGAATTAATTAGTTGTAATTATAATCTTGACCATTTTCACGTTATGCTACGTATGAAGGTCTCGTATGAAAATGCTTTTCCAAGTATAGTAGATACAATTTTTGTTACTGCAAAAACTTTATCCATCTCTTATGCAAATTTCGAATGAACGGTCTGTTAAAAAATTTCATCGATTATCAATAATTACCAAGTAAAATAAAAATAATAGTATTAATTGAATTCCAATAATTACTGCTTTCTCCTCGTACAAGTTATTTATTTACCACATCGATTAATTCTGCGAAATAAAAAGTACAAATTAATTTTAGATACGAAGAATTCAACGTCAAATTAAGTACTATGGCACCAAAATTGAAAAAATTCAAAAAGTAGAGTTAATCGTCTTGATTTTTAAACAACTCATATATCCAGGGAATCTTTCTCAACATCATTTACCAAAAATACGATATTTAAGAAAAAGTACGATAAGAACATAATTCATTGGACAAACTTAAACAAACACAAAAAGATTCTTCAGTCTAAAAAAAGAAAATTTCAAATTTATTACTGTTTCCACAAACAAAGATGTCTGAGAGCTTCTAATAAATCAAACAAAAGTGTCACCAGCCTTCTGGAAAAATCAAACAAATCCTAATAAAACGAAATTAAACAAATTTTGGTATACTACAAACATTTCTGGCGAAAACCTTGAGGAACACGGTTGGTGTGCTTCGTGTTAGAAAAATAAACTAAGAGAGAATCGAAAAGGACTTGCGGAGAATTACGAATGACACTGAAAAGCAAGCATGGATTATCTACAGGTCTGTCGACATTTTGAATAACAACAGGGGATCAGAGAATAATAAAATTCCCGATAAAAGCGGGAATGATAAATAGAAAGGAAATAACCATAAATCGAATATTTTCCAAACAACTTTTTTATTTTGAATACGGTGGGAATTAAATTTCTATTATTTTATGCCGCTTCTTTTATATACCTCGATACGAAAAATAACTATATTATTTTTATCGATATATTTTATTGGAAAAGAATTATTTTTAATAAAAGCGAATTGAGATATTCGAAGACCAAGATAAATTTAATTGAAAGCTAAATTTAAGTTCTAATGCAATTTTTCCACTCGAATTCCTCGGTTCCAAGGTAACTGAAATTTATTTTCGAGATGTTAACTACTCACCTGTAATATACACCTAAACATAGTATACACACGGATAACACTAATTAAATTAGTACGATGAAGGTAAATATACATATAAATAATTATTAATTTTCCATGTCACTAAAAATTAATATTAATTACGCCAAAAGCACCTTCATACTTCCGATAACTATAGAAACAAATAGTTTGAAATTGCTAATTTTATAAAAAAGAATATTTAATATTATAGAAAAATCAATTCTCGTATCTTTCGTTCACCTAAATTGACGAATAATTCTAAAACAAAAATTTTGGAATTACTACCAAGAATATTAATTACGAGGAATAAAAAGTTTTAAATAAAAATATGCTGTTCCGATAAAATAAAAAATTTCGTCCAATAGAATTTATTATCCTATACATTTTATTTCGTTCACTGAAAAAGAAAAAAAAAGAAAACAAAAGACAGAAACAAACAACGGCATGAGGATTCCCCATTGGGGAACAATATCACTTATCGACGTGTGGATCCGCCTTAACGTCGATTGTAAGAGCAAAGCCCACGCAAATACGCACATATAAATTACGTCTTGGCGAATTGTATTACTGGCACGATATAGCAATTGATACGCAATAGGAACACCTTTATCGCAAAGGGCTGGCAATAAGATCCGGAACAGCCGGATGTCGCGTAGTTAAATTACGAAGTTATTGGATATCGTCAATCGATCATCGGCAATGTCCAAAATATCGGGTAAAACGAACCGTCTTCCAGATATATTGCCACCTTTCGAGAAGAATTCGAGACGAAAGAATACGTATAAAATATATTCGTAAAATATACCCGTTTTGTAATTAAATTTAATATTAATAATAATAATATTTCGACGATATTATATAATTCTAATAATAATATTCTAATAATATATTATTTAGCAGAAAATATATAACTCCGCCATTACAGAATTTCTAAATAAAACTTTCGAATCGAAGAACAAACTTAACGCCAAGTTCCTTCAATCCGAGCCGCCATTGCTAAGAACTTTGCGCGCGAATTAGTGCGAAATTAAACGCTCCTTCCATTAACAAATTGAGACGTATTTTTCAAATAAACGCCAACATTTCCTTCCCTGCGATAGAATTCGACGGAAGAATGTAAATTTCGTGGAAATTGAACGTTCCTTGTAACGGGGTGAAGGGCCCACGATTTTCAAATAAAATTTCTCTATCGAAATGCCCTTTAATTAAAACCTCAACGCCGGAACAAATAGTTGCGCGAGCCCGAACGAAAATTAAATTTTGAAAGTAACTCGTTTAAATCGTACTTTTCGACCGCGGCTGTAGAGCGAATCAGAATTGTGTAACTTGCCGCCAATCAGGTCTATCGGTGTTGCAGCGTCAAATCTGATGAAAATGAACTCGTCCAAAACAATAGGGGAATCGTCAAAAAAGAAACTAGACTCCCGCTAAACTGCGTAGATCGTAACACGACTGCCGATATTGAATTCCACATCGATTCGATTCGATTGAAATTTAGTAATAAAAATCTAACCTTTATGTTAATAATAAATGATCAATTATTATAATAAATGTTGTTTGTATTAATTTGTATAAAAGGAAACGTGAAATATTTATAAAAAAGCGTATAAAAATAATTCGATTACTATAAGACGATTACGCATGTTAAACTGTGAAAGAATACTTCTGTTTACTTTCGAATATTCATCAGTGCAAAGAAACGCGTAATGAAGAAAGAAAGTGATCCAATGCGATATTATATCATGAGAGACGGGTTAAGATGGAATTTACGCGCCCGTGAAAACGGACACCCATGACATTCGGACACGATACCCCATTCCACGAAACCGAGAACTTCGGCGAAATGTATTCTAACCTAACGAACGTGCACGCACAATCGACACACGATGTTTGTTTGACTCGTCGTTTGTTCGTTCGCGCCTAACCATCGACCTCTACTACGTCGCAACGATCCTACCGTGGTATCATGTCGGTGGACCCAGACAAAACTTTTCACTTTCCTTTTATCCCTCTGTCGAATCACCTTTATTTACTCGTCGAGCGAAACCGTTAAACATAAACAAATGAAGAAAATAATGAAAATCGCCCGAATTGGAATAATATCGATCGTGTACCGGCGAGATAAAACCGCTGTGAACATCGAGATCAAGATTATGATGCACGTTCGGTGATCTGTCACATCCGATTGACAGCTAGCATCCTATAATAGGCAGAGCGCGCCACGCAGTCCCAACCTGACACGCATCCCGAATAACCAACGACGCTTATGTTATAAGAGAAACACGTTAATCCGATACAAGGTCAAAACACTACGCGAAGACTGGTGCCCTTGAGGCAAGGGTGCGAACAGAAAAATGCGAGTGATTGTGGAAAAAAGGGCGTGTGAATGTCCGTCGAGTGTCTGGCGTCCACAGTGACACGGAGTAACAACGCGGATTTCGCGTAAAACACGGAAGCTGTGCGAGAATTTAGCATTGATTATTGATTACCTGGGTATACAATTCGGTGCAGTACAATCCACTTCCCAAGTGGCAAACAGCTTCATGGGAACGGGCCGGGTGGCCGGGGCTGTCGTCTTCGTACGCTCCGCCATTTTTGGCCCGTCGGCCCACAGAAACACTCACCACACCTTCGGTTCACCGCGGCTCGCGGTTGACTGACTGACTAAGACCGCTCGTGGCGCCATACGAACGACGATTTCGTGAGCTGACGAAGAATTACGGAAACGTCCGAAGACACCTTTCGGAGAGCAACCGAAGTAAACAAGCACGAATTATATACCCACTATGGAACTCACGAAGGAATTGTACAGTCGGTAATATTTTGTGTATGATTTCTGAATTTATGATCGCTTCGATTAATAAACGTAATATCGCTTGAGATTTGTAAAAATTTTTAGAAAGCTTTGGTATAATATACCACTATTATATTATATCTGAAGAGATGAAATCAAAATATTTTGTTTTTGAAACATAACCTATCGAAGTATCAGGAAAAAATTGCATGAGAGATAATAGGTTCATTTAATAAATAATAAATAGCCTTTCGAAGAAGATTTTATTATAAAACTGCACATATGATGCGAATAATCAAATAAATATACACCTTTTATTTTTCGTAAAACATATCTTTAATATTTTAAATGTAATTGTTGATTAAAGAAAATGATACGATAGCCACCACATTAGTACAGGTTGTATACCTGCTACGAATAATATAAAATAGAGTCTTCTTTTATTACCAGAAGCTGTATATGAACTATGATTTTGTGGAATGACCCTTAATTTTAATGACCGCATAAGGAAAAATGCTAAAGATGCACTGAAGTATAGCCAAACTATATAATAACCCAATTTTTGAAATAGTAATGAAACTAATAAAGCTGCATTAATACCGACATATTTGTAACCACAATAGGCTAATAAATCTAAAGTTGAAAGACTTGTTTCAAGATTCATTACATAAAGACTTACAATGTGCACCACTAATTCTAAGACACTCCATGCTAGAGCAGTACTAGCCAAAATACTTAACTGTTCTGGAGTGAACTGTTCTCGAGTTCCTGAAACTAATGCAGCCACAACTATATATGTTAAAAATGCCATTGTGGGAATATACATATCAGGTGCATTTTTTTCATAACGTGGTTGTAGTGGTGCATCTTGTTCGTATTTTACAGACCAATCCTGTTAAACACTTTAATTATTTACATCTACTTAAACAACTAAATCATCATTTACTAAATTAAAAAGAATTTACCTTATGTGTGAATGGGAAAAACAACAAAGCTATCTTTGAAACAACATAGTCTGTGTCAACAGCAAAATAATATTTAAGAGCTGTAACTGGCACATATTTTTCGAAGTTTCGTTTTCCAGATCCTACTATAGAAGTTCCGTAATGTAAAGCCATATTTGTAACTATTGGTTGGCCTAACATCTGTGACCCAAATTGTGGTGACGAATATTCATTTCCCAGATTTTCACCAGGTGGGAATTGTTGCATTGGCATTGACATATTAAATCCGTATGGTGCAGGCTGTTGTCCTGATACGTTGAAACCATATTCTTGAGGTACACCATTGTCCATAGGAATCTAATGAAGAACAAGAAAAGAAAGTTTCGTATATTATACAATAATTTGTTCATGTTTCTTAAATCTTACTTGCTGATTATATGCGTATGCACCCTGGGGCATTGTTGGTGTAGATGTTGGTGTAGATAAACCAGCAGATGGGTCAAGTAACCTTTTTGATTTTCCTACTAAAAATTTCATGTATGAGTTATTTTATACAATAATATAATGTAGACAACTTAACCTTTACATATAAAATTTCCAACATATAATCTACCAATAATGTTTATAAAATAAGACAGCCTCAAAAATCATAACCTCTATATGTGATATTCTATGACATTATATTATATGTTGCCACAATGGCCAAAAAATGTACAATATATGAACAAATATAACATTCTTTTTATGAAAATCAGTTCATTGCATTGTCATGTTTAAGCTATGAATAATAACGATTTCAAAAAATTAAACAATATCATAGATTAATGAATCAACAAATTTACCTCGCCCTGCAGCTGAATGATTATAATTCATGATTTCCTGGATAACTTGCTTGTACTGTTTATCAAGAAACACCAAATATCAAACAAATTTTGTCGTGTATGGGTTTAAATCTGATAATTTTCACGAAGAAAGTCGAAAATAATTCATGCTACACGTCGCCATACCCGTCATCCGTTGCAGAATCTCCCACTCCGAATACATCGTGATTCTGTCATTCTGTAACAGATGTTCTTAAATTACTATAATTAATATCACTATTTATTATTATGAAACTTCTAAAATATTCATTTACGCATGCATGTCTAAAAATATTTATTTTTATCAAATTTCATGTAAAAATATTCAAATCATAATTATTATTGTAATGTATAGTATTACGTATTAAAAAATATCTTTATTTGAAAAATAGTATTCTTATAAATATTCTTGTAATTATATAAATATTAATTTAGATAAAAATATATCTCATCGATATAGACAAAAATGAAGGTTCAGGGGGCACCCGGGTTTGAACCGGGGACCTCTCGATCTGCAGTCGAATGCTCTACCACTGAGCTATACCCCCTGTTGTAATGTAGTTCCGACAAGTAAGATTTCAATCCAATATTTCAAAAATATATTTCCTTATTTATTTTAAAAATTGCTTATTACATAACTTCAATAGGTACAACACATCAAATACCTCTTTATCGAATATTTCAAAGTAAAATTTACACTTCTTATCATCCTACTTTAACGAAAGAAAATCGCTCATTAACAAAATATTTATTTATAAAAATTTCTTTATAAATTAAAGTACACAAATTATAACAACAGATAATATAAAAATATTTATATTAAAATAAACTTATATAAACTATAAAACATACGTGTTTACATTTCTCCATACTCTCCTTCTGTTACTCCATTCAATTATTCCATATGAAACACTGATTTTAAGGAACATTATGCGCGATACAAAATTAATCAGGTCCCAAGACTTCACTGTTAATTCGCTTTTCTTGTACCCCTTAAAATACGAGATAAACATGTAAATAAATTTCAGAGACGAAGGTAAAAGAACGTGTATTATGCGTAATAGGCGTAATGAGTAGCAAGACTGGTTTTAATTATAGAAAAATAATTTTTGCCTCTGTTGATACGTTACTGAGACGGTGGTAACTAAGCAACCCTTACATTAACTAGCCGCGGCATCAAAGGGATGTCAGTGCGCGTCCCACCCTCGTGTGGTGCGCTTCATAGCCTTCGAAACGTACAAACCTCGTGGACGAAACGTCAATCAGTGGCAAATACGTATTTCAAGATTGCACCTCGCGATGGAAAACACTCAAAAGCTAGCAGTGCAATTTTTCAGAAAGTAAGCTCCAAGTAAAATACTTTTCCATGCTACTCGCTTTTCCAGCCAATTACCACTCACAATGAAACGCACGTGTAACGTTTGCAATGAACACTATGGTCTCCCCTCTTTTCGTTTCAAACAACGCGTTGTTTTAATAATACAACGAATATGCGTTTTTCCATGCACATTACAAAAATTTCATTCTTTTAAATAACCTTCTACATCGTGACTTGGTTAAAAATGAAAATTAAATCAAGCAATTTACGCTAATTATAACAATATCAAACACACGCTTATTACGTTCATTTTTTACAATTATAATATATACATTATAAAATTAGGTTAATAATATTCGTGAAAAGTAAGAATTTATATTAAACAATTAATACGAAAATATCTATCTCGTAATATACAATTTATTTAACACTAAACCTACTACGATCTAAATGTCTGTTTCCAAACTTTTGACCATAAATTTCGTATTCAACGTTTCTTTAAGATGGGTTTTTTTAATTTTCTTTTTATACCGATTACGATAAGATTAGTTTCAAATCACTTATGATAATGATCGAGATGGTCAACATTTCCATGTATAATAAATACAATCATTATAGAAGATACAAAATATATCTGCGAAGTTAAATATATTTACAATAACAATATCAACGTAAGATTTAAAAATTTCCCTGCATTCACGTATCATGCTTCATTCATTAATACCTCGTTCATCGCACTTTAAAAACAACCATAACCATATCGCACGTCCTCACCACGAATCACTTTAAATTCTCAAACGGAACCTAGATAACATATTCATCAATGAAATGCCCTTACGATACGACGCTTCTCTAAAGGGGTGCTATTCGATTTACTTCGAACACGCTAATACTACTCAACTACTAGCTCGTATTCACACTCATCAATTTTCCCAAATATGCACGAATATACGATTAACACGACCAAGTGGAAAAGAATATAATAGAATCGAGAGATAAGTCTCGCAAATTCCTCCTTTTTTCCATCATTCCATCTCCACCCTCTCCGGTACCATTTTCGCGGCTATTCGCGCCATTGTGATCGTTTCCACAGCTGTCCGTCGAGCGTCAATCGCGCGAGGATCGATTCGATCATCAATAAACTCGATAAATCAAGCATTCTCGCGGCGTTACTGCGCAGCGCACGTAATCTCACGTGAAACCAGAGATGTTATCATTAAATATTAACGACGCGCCATCACGAAGGAACGAAGGCCTCCGCGAATTATTAACGGAGCAATAACGATCGACGTGCGGCACGGTGAATCAACGAAATAACGATTTTCAGTCATCGCCGCGTTACGGCAACACGTGCACGTGGGTTCGTTGTACGTGTGCATAGATATCATTAAACGTTCGCCACTTCGTTAGACACCACCTCACCGATCGGTCCTCTGGAGGAAACGCTCTTGGAACCTCAGAACGCTGGTCTAGAATGCTTCATGCAGCTGCAAGTCGTTCTCGTGTAGTCATAAAGACGTCATGCTTCTTACTCTCGCGCGGGATCCTTCGTTTCAATGGCCTGGTTCTTGATTACTATTATTCATAGTCTTCGCATCATGACCAGTGGCTATTCTGCTCGATGAGGAACGAATCTTCGAATCGAGTACGCAGAGCAAGTGGGAGAAGCGTCGATGTGAGAATGTGACGTGTACCAAAGACTTTGGATTCAGAGGAACGAAGAGAGTTTTTGACAGTACACTATCCTGTCTTCTTACTGTCCATTCGATGGAACTTGCTCGTCATTCAAGATCAATATGTCGCAATTCGTTGACCGTCCAGGCGCTGAGAAAGTCCATTCGTGACGATAATTATTCCGTCACAAGTTCTTACGGTGGACGCGCCGTTGAGAATGCGCCGTAACACGCATACGACAAATTCTCGGCCATTTTGTTTTCCTCTCCCTCCGCTAAATGGATCAAGTTTCCCGCGAAATCGCGGAATTACGAGGCCAATTCATCATCGACGCGAACGTGTCAGACCGCGAAGGCTGCAGGATTCTCAGAAGAGATGGATCGCAACTTGAAAACCGCTATCGATTCTTCCACGCTGCTCCACACATTATAAACTGACTGGAGGTCTGGTTCCACGATAGCGTGACACGTGACGGGAAACAGCCTAAGAACGTAGACACTGCTGTTTAAGAACGGTACGAGGTGCAGAGAAAATTGCCTCGATGATGCATGTGTACGTTGCGAAACGATTTTCTGCATTTCAGCCATTTCGATTCGGTCAGCCGTGACATCGAGGCGAATCAGAGCCAGCCAGTTTGTCAGCGACGAATTCGTCGAAACTCGAAACCCCATTTGAAGTTTCAATTTCCGATGACACGGAAAATCCGCGGGACTCGCTGATGATCTCGCAGAAGGACATCGCAGAAGGATACCGTCAGGGTATTATTAGGTTCAGCCTGTTCCCGTGATTGCAATCGCGATTGTATCGGTAATTTGATCGCAATTTGCACTTTCCATAGTCCACTCGAATTAGGCAGTCCTATTCGCTCAGCCTCAAGGACACTCGTCGACACGGCGATGGAAGCAATTTCGCTTAGTGCTACTGTGCCAGTGGCGTGCGCACAGCTGTCCGCCTTTAATTTCTTATCAAACTTCTTTTTCTTGGAAATCAATCGATTCATATCGCTCTATTTTCCGTGGCCTAGCCTGCCTAGCTGAACGTCCAACTTTCGGACTCGTCCGCCATCTCTTTTCCCTTTCAGTTCGGCGAAAAAGCCTAAGCAAATGCCTAACGAGCTGTTAGACCTCGGGGACCTAGCTTATCCTCGCTTGGATGTTAAACAAACCGATTAAAATTTTAAATTTTAACATCCACGGCAATAATGGTCTCGCGTGGAAACTGATTCCCGAGCGATAAGAAGAAGGCAATTAAATCGAGTGAAACGAACGAGCTACCTTGCCTAGCTACTTACTTTTCCCTCCTTTCCATTTTTCCTCTATTTTCTCGCCATTTTACGACACAGATATCACGTCCTAAGAGATCTTTCGAATTTTTTCTCAGGCACCTTATTGGAAGAAGTAGGAAACGTTTGATCACTTACTCGAGCTAGATCGTGACGGTCTTCGCTATCGTCTATCGCGTTAATCCTGCGATTTCGAGGATGATACAGGAAGGGAGGTAACGAAAATCGGTGATACGCCGACCTTGCCATGGGAGCCGGCATAATAGTTCTCGGCGAATGATAGGTGTTGTGGCGTTGGGTTTCTATGGCAGCGAGTGACCTGGTCAGTCCACCACGTGGTCAGTAACCGAGCTTTAAATTCGGGTCGGGTTTAGTGATAAACCTCTGATGGGATCTGCGATCGTGTCAGGTCTTTCTTGCGCGAACGAGGTCTCGGTGTCAATCAATTAGACATTAACCGAACTATTCCCTATTTTTACTTGCGAAACGGTATCTCGCCCGGAAGCTTGGCCAGACGATCGATGCTCATGCAGCTAGGGAATATTGAAAAATCTGCACACGTCGTGCTTTGGTTCTATCGCTTGTCACGTCGCGTTCATTATCGAATTAGCGCGTTTGCTGCATCGCTGCGGATGTGCCGGGCCATTTCCCTGGCTATTATTACCGCGATTGTTGTAAGGTGTTCTATTGTCAGTCACGCAGTGGCTGTGTTTACCCCTGCCGCGCAGTGGTTGAAACGCCTTCGGTCAGGCTGTGGTAATGGACAGTGGTGGAATAACGTGGTAAAAAATGCCGGGGTGGGATCAGACTGTCGGGAAAGGCTTTCATTTTGTCTTCATTCACAATCAGTTCTTATTCATGCTCTGTTACTCTACATTGATGTACACC